CTCTGCTTTCTGTTATAAGTAAGGTGATGGTGGGGTGCATAAATCGCGAGCTTCTGGACTACCCCGAAAGTCACAGCTTGATTAGCGACAGGCGATCCACAGGGGACCTCCTAGCCTACGTCACCAATTATGAAGTAAACTCATCCAGTCCTCATTGGTAAGGCTCATGTCGTTACGCTTGACATCACGAAGCGTTCGATCAGCGGTGGCACGCTGCCCTCTTAACCAAACTTCCATCCTATTGGCCTCCAGAAAAGCTTGCAGATGGGTGGCTGACTTTAACTCTGACCGCAAGATATCCGTCGTAATTGACGGTTCTCCTCTCATTATACAATTCATGCAGGTGTTCCCCAAAGATCGGTCTTGGCTCCGACACTGTTTCTCTTACATATCAGAGGAGACTAGCGACGACTTCCTCTCTGAGAAGAGACTTGGAGGCTATCACTGCTTGTTGACGCAACATCTTGTACAGTTCAATGCTTCCAAAACACAGTACTGTACTTTGACGAACAAAAGCGTCCTAGCGCTCATCCGGTTTTGATGGTTGGCCGAGTTTCTGCCAAAGAGCCATTCCTTTCGGCTGGTCGGAGTCCAGATCACCGAGAACCTGATCTGGCACGAACACATCTCGTCAATAGCTGCAGCTGCTGGAAAAAAGCTAGGCTATTTGTCTAGGGCTAAGAAGTAATTTTCTCCGCATGACCTTCTCACTTTATACAAGGCCCAGATAAGGCCTAGCCTCGAGTATTGCTCGCACGTTTGGGGTCCTGCCGCCCCGACTGCATTGTCCATGCTCGATGCTGTTCAGAGGAGGGCGGTCCGACTGATCGATGACTCTTCTCTAACAGACAGTCCTCGGGACCCTTTCGCACCGGCGGGCCATCGGCGATCTAGCTCTTTTCTACCACTACACCAACGGGCTTTGCTCCTCAGAGCTCTCTTCCATGATGCCCCCGCGCGATGTGCCTGCCAGGGCAGACCTGCCTGACTTTGGCGCCCCATCCTAACCGTATCGAACTTCGTACATCCAGAACTGGCCGATACGACCGCTCCTTTGTCCCGAGGGCGTCGAGATTGTGGAACAATCTACAAAAGGAAGTTTTTCAAAGTTCTACTAACCTTAGGCAGTTCAAAAATCGTATTAACTAAATTTCTTTGGGATCATCATTGCAGTCGCGGTGTTCCGGCACTTAGGGTTCTGCCTGCACAGCTGCTTCGATATAAAAAAGCTCTTACCCAGGTTCACCAGCAGGCGTAACGGTCTTGGTAAGTGCCCTGGTATTACTGCCGCTGTGTCGCGCTATGATGTCTGACGAGCGGCCAGGCGACATCATCACATGGACCGTACTGACCGTATGACTGACTTGATCCGTTCAATTTCCCTGCTACACTTGTTCGTAACTAACTTTTGCTTGGAGGGTAAAACAAAATCCTTTATGAACAGCTTATGATGCCACTATTTAACTCATTAAACCACCAGTTGCAGCTTTTCCAGGTCTTGGAACCCTTGCAACTAAGAAATATGCGATATTTTCACCTGCTGGCTTTTTGGATCCGTCCATGGTTTGCCTTGAAAAAGAATAACGTCTGAGAGGTGCAACGATACCGAACAGTAGCTCCCATGAGGATGATCTGGAGCACTCCGATTATTGGATCTTATCGACGATGCGGGAAGGTTAATGGTTTTATTTTGGGTCCGATAGGATTTCGCGGGAGGCATTATGGGATCGCCATCGAAAAAGAGATGTTATATTCTATAGGTCGAGGTTAATTTTGTATATGAGGAGGACAGGAAGTGCTTGCCAAACGAAAAGACGTCTCGTGGCATCTTTGCCTATTGAGAATGGGAAAGTATCGTAACGCTGAGTAGCCATGACAGCATCGTTGTAACCACTAGGTACGTAGTTAAAAATTAAGTATAATATTTCTACTAATTAAAACCGATCGGAAAGTTTTTTACCATTATTATTAATAATAAATTGTGGAAGTTTCTGTCTTGTAGAACTCAAATACCACGTTAAGCCCATAATACAGTTTTTATTGTCTTCAGAAAAATTTGAATTCTGGAACTGGTTTTTGCACTGTCCGATTCATTTAATATCTCATTTGAGAAATGTTAGTAGATATGTTGATCACAACATTAGTTTTAAATTAAACTGATTTATTATATTGGAACCAGGTTCCTTCTAAGGCCGTGCGACACAGTTTAATCAAACTTGAATGAATTTAATAACGATTAACTTTGCAATGAAGAATAATATTTTATTAAGTTAAATAACAAACTCAATAATTTATTAGTTTTATTTATTCAGTATATAAGGGAGTAATAACTGTTCTATGGTCCACCCATCTTTCTTACAGTTTTGTTGTATGTACGGAAACGTGATGTAGGAAGGACATTAGGAAGTCCTCTCATTCGTCGGCTATAAAAGGCACGATGTACATAAAGATAAATTGTGTGGAATGAAGGTAGAGTTAGTCTGGGCATATGATTAGACAGTTGGGAGTCAGCAAAACAGAATCAGTATCCGGAAACTTACATGGATGAAAAGGAAC